CACTAGAGTTAACACTTCTGAGCATAGGGAGAATTGCAAGTCATGCTAATAAAAAAAGGGGATAAATGTCTTACAGCGGTTGATAGTAGCTGGTTAGGTAGACCTTAATGCTTTGTGGCATAGATTCAAAAAGCTGCTGGAAACATTCCTCTCAGATACTGGTCATATTGCTACTGCAGATTAATGGGCTTCAGAGGTGCTCTATTGTATTGACACTGAGATATAATTGAGTACAGTGAACTGGTTTGTGACACGGTGTGTTATTTTGGTGGAAGCAGCCATCAGACTATGTCGGTCCCTGTGGTCATAAAGGGACGGACATAATCAGCCACAATACTCAGGTAGACTGTGGTGTTTAAGTGAGGCTCTTCTGGTACTAAAAAGGTACGAACTGTGGTGATTGTGGTAAATCCCACACACCCTTATACCACCACCGGCCTGAACCACTGATACGAGATACTTGCTCTTAGTTGACAGGAGTGGCAACTGGTGTGGTCTTCTGGTGCTGTAGCCCAGCTACTTAAAGGTGTTGTGCATTCAGAGATGCTCTTCTGCATACTTTGGTTGTAACAAGTGGCTGTTTTAGTTACTGTTACCTTCCTCTCACCTCAGAGCTACCGCTTTATTCTTCTCTGATATCAGTGAGACATTTTCACTCAGAGATCTGCTGCTCACTTTGCAACCCTAGAGATGGTGTTGTGGGAAAATCCCAGGAAATCAGCAGCTTCTGAAATACAACAGCGACACCAACAACCTATGTCATGTTAAGAGTCACTAAAACCATCTTTCTTCCCCATTCTTATGGTCACTTTGAACTTCAGCAGAAATCAATGAACGGTGAATGGCTGAAGTGACTCTGAAGTGCGTGATTCTAGTTCATCAGTGATCTTTGTGTTGGTGCATGTCACCCAGTTGGCAAGATGAAGGCTAATTAAATGCTGGATTTATTTATTTACTTTTAAAACTTTATCCATCCCTAAACTAGAGCCTAAAGACAACCTTAGATCTCAATCAACTCACTTTGGTTTCTCCATAAAGTTGGTTTAAGTGGAAAAAATGTCAACCAAAGTGCCTCACAGGCGTGCCCCTTAGCAGCTGTGGACACTGTTTGGATGTGTATTTGTCAGTAATTAATTGCTTCCCTCGTCAGCGCCTGTGTCCATGCCCGTGTTGCCTAAAACTGAATCGGGACCAATCTGTACCTAATAAATTGACAGCTTGTGACTGAGTTTTAGATGGTGTGGACCTCTTACCCTGCACACTCGCTCCATGAGCAGCGCAGCGGGAGCCATCTGACACAAATCAGCCGCCATCATTCATGTGTCTTTCATGATGTCACAACAGCGTTTGGGTTCTTCATTTGTGCCAACACGCTTTGACAGTCAGTCGGCGGCGTCGCACATGTGAGCCACGGCTGCTGTGGGCTGTCAGCAGCAGCAGCATTGTGTTCCACCCTCATTGTGCTGAGAGGGATGTTTCCAGTAAGTGCCCACATGTGTCACTAATGGCTTCGCCTCCCTTGTTACTGCTGCCTGTCTGTGGTGCAGTTACAGGTCACACTCGACACTAATCAGCCAAATGTGTTCCCCCCCCCAGGTGACTCCGAGCTGGAGACTGCACCTCTCAGGTGGTGTTACAGTGTCACATCTATACATGTGGGGCCAATCTACCATTTGAAGCTATTGTAGTATATTTTTTATGACATTGAAACTGCCACTAACAAGCACCGGGTTGTTTTTCATTTCAACAAGGTGCACTCGCATAGGTGTGACGTGTAATTTCCTGAAAGACTTCCTGGAATTTTCACCTGTCTTGCAAGCTGTTGGTGGAACTGTTGTTTAAAGCGCTGTATGCAGAACAGATTAGCTGACTGATTAGTGAACTGACAGAAAATTAATATGCAGAAATGTTGCCTTCTGGCTTTATTCCCGTCTAATTTGAAAAATAGAATCATCAATCAACTTTGTATGAAAAGAAGTGAGATTCTGACACGGTTTTTTTTTTGTTTGTAAAAAAAACCCCCCAAAAAACAACCAAACAAACAAAAACAAAACACATTAGGGAGCTATGTGATGTGCTACTTCATTTTGGTGCAGTCCTACATACAGCTAGTCTGCCAAATGTTTAAATCCACACCTGAAAGTTGTCCCAGGACATATATTTTTTTGTAATTGGGATGTTTTTCCACAGCAAAAACACAGAATTCCCCCTTTATTATCTCTGAGATCTGGAATTGGCAGTTATGTTTTTTTCCAAGGGGCCACATGAGGAACTGGGACTGTTGTGGGTGTTAGCAGCTCACTGGTGTGGCGCTCCACATCAGTCCCAGTTTCTCATGTGGCCCCTTGGGAAAAATTAACTGCCCGCCCCTGCTTTACATGGCTCGACCTTTAAATCCTGTCTTCTTAAAGACATCGGTCTCCGCGGTTACAGTGTTGCATTACAACAGGGCGTTTGTTTCTAGAGTACCTGCGCATCTGAGCTATTGAGTCCCGAGTGGAGCGGAGCGTCAGCAGAGCATAATAAGGTCCCGATGCTGGCGCAGAGACAGGAAGCTGCATTTATGTAATTGACATGTGTAGCAGCAGCAGCAGCGACGCAGCCTTGCAGCTGGTCTGAGCTCACTAATCCCAGCCCTGGAGACTCGCTTTGCTTGTTTGGGTCATATTTATATAGCAGCAGCTTCGGTGTCTTATCGGGCTTAATAATAAGCTCATTGTTGTGTTTCGTAAGATGTAGCATTTAAAGTATTTTTTTAAAATTTGTTGTCAGCAGTGTGCTACCCCCAGTGATGAACGGTTATATATGTCTGGTGCAATTCCCAACATTGGAAAGGGT